TCATACTAAGCATTGCGCCTATCAGTAACGTATGGACCAAACCTCTCCTGAGTATTCCTTGAAGTCAAGCTTGTTGCAAGTTTAAAACAGTGTAGAATTTGCACTCTTACGAATAGGGAGATTCCGTAGTTGACCAAGAGATAAGCTTATTCTGTATAGTACACAATACCTGATTCTACGAGACGTGTCAAAGTGCACTTATTAACAATTTTCTGAAGCTCTTGAAGGATGTGTGGTATGCTTCAGGCCTCCAAAAATGGCGGGAAAGTCCACTAAAGGCAAAAGCAAAGGAAAAGGTAAATCCGAATCAAGCTCCGCTGATTCATCAATGGCTTCCAAAGAAGTCCAGCCCCTAGCTAGTGCGACAGGACTGCCTGAGTTGGTCCTGAAGAAGGCCCCTTCTGTACCTGCTTCAATAAAACAACTACCAGCAGAAGCACCGAAACAAGATGTTGCTGAAGCCTTGGCGGAGTCATCAGGAGTAGAAACTTCTGCAGCTGCTTCTGAGAAAACAGAGAGAAGTGATGAAAGTGTAGAAGCTGAGAAGAAGGAGAAAGCTGAATCAGGAGAAACACGTGATGGCAATGGTGCTGGAGACGTCGACGGGGATGGTAAAGCTGCTTAATCTAGTGATTTTGATGTCTAGAATGATACATCGCTGCTGCAGTTAAAATGGAATATATGGTCAGGAGTGGAGAGAGAATTTGTGTTTGCAGCGTATATTTTCGACCACCACATTCTTTTTTTCTACTCACTCTAAATTGTTACTAACTGGGATATAATTATTCAAATAGTTAGAATCATCTTCTCCCTCTTTATTTTATTCTTTCTTTTTAGCTTATTTTAGTTTTCTGCATGACCTACTTCACCAGCTTGCTGTGCATTCGTATACATGGTCATATGATTCAGGGTAGTTGGTTTGTCATTCTGAGAGGCTTATTGTTTTGGTTTTTCAGCAGAGCTGTTGCTCTATCCCATCATCGTCAAAGGACCAAGTGGGGAGAAACTTGAATTGCAGGTACCTACAAATTACTGCATGTTTTATTTATTTATTTATTTATTTTGAGCGGAGAACGTATGTCTCACGCTGGAAAGTGGATTTGATGGGGCCAACTAAATAATGTGGATTGCTTTCTTTCCAGGAATATGTTTGAGTCCTTGTGACTAGTTCTATTAGGGTCTTTACTTATCTAGTAAGGCTGTGTCTTAATGAAGTCTGTCGGGGTATGTGACAGGTCAACCCAGGCGACTCAGTTATGGATTTACGCCAGTTCCTTCTAGATGCGCCGGAGACGTGCTTTTATACATGTTATGATCTTATCTTAAATGTTGCCGATGGTGCCCGATATCACCTGGCTGAGTACCTTGAAATCGGCGAGGTTGCTGATATTAGTTCCGGAGGTTGTTCGCTGGAGATGGTTAATGGTAATCCCTTTGCTCTCTTCCGAAGAACTAAAACATGCTTTCATTGATCAGTTTGAGAAGGCTATTTATTTCTCCATGCTACACGGTTGTCTGATTGCGTCTTTGATTCATTTCTGTTAGGAGCCATTCCGTTCATGCACCTCACATTTTAATTAATCAATAAGGAAGCTCACTTGCTGAATTCAATGTTGTAATTGTATTGTGTATGTGCAGCCTTGTACGATGATCGAATGGTACGGTCTCATGTTCGACGCACAAGAGATTTGATCTCCACATCTAGCATACATTCTTCCCTATCGACGGCACTCGCAATGGAGTACGAGGCAAAGCAGGCTGGTCGGTTCTGTTTCTTGACCCTTTGCATCTGATTGTCATGTTCCTATGCCTCACCGTTTACGAGTCTTCTTTACAGAGAATTTATGGGTTTCGTTCTTGTCGCAGGTGAGGATAAGGATGCTAAGGATAAATCCGCTTCCAAGGACAAGGCTGCCGGTACGTCACAAAACCTAGAGTTTAGAATTCATGCGGACTCTACTCTTTGGGGAGAACACAACTTCTATATTTGTTTGTTTTTTGTATTTTTGTACCTTTTCCGATTCCTCGTACGTAAAGGACCTAATACTTGAACCTCATTCGTTAGGTTTCTTTACGTTTATAGCGTCTTCTATGCTTCTGCGAGTTTTATGCCGGTTTACCAGTCTCTCATCTTTCTGGGATGTAATTGCTGTATGTTCTCTAATGGTTCAGCAACTTGAAAACAGAACCCGTGAAGATGGAGCTAGCTGAGTTGGAAGGAGGTCTTGGGTTTATGGAGGACTCTTGCGGTCAGTTAAACTTACTAATTAGTCTCCCTGACCCTCAAGAGAATCCTTGCGTGCAGACAATTGCCTTCTCGTCATTCAATCCTGTCCCAGGATATCGAAGGTAATTATTAAGAGATTTGCTTCTTCTGCATATAGGATGCAATATATGTGGATTTAATCGATGTGTGTGCAGCAATTTTACCTGCAATTTTTCTTTCTTGTATATCATGTTACCAATTTGTGACATTGTGTGGACAGGCTGCTCGGCGACCTTATTTACCTAGATGTGGTAACAGCTGAAGGCAAAAGTTATTGCATCACTGCGCATACCCGAGGCTTTTATGTAAACTCAAGCAAGGGGAACATTCTTAACCCGGAGAAAGCTGCTTCAGCTTTTGAATCCACCACACTTGTAGGTCTGCTTCGACAATTGAGCAAGAAGTTCGTTGCAGGTATAGCCCAAGTGCTTCTATCGCTTTATTCACGATATTTACGTATGCCAGTGTAACAAGACTTCTTTGATTACTTAAATTTACTTCAATTTTTAATTTTTTGTACTCGCTTAACTGAATGCTTGCATGTCATGTGAAGTTTCTGACACATGTAGTAATGTATAGGCTTTGCGGCGATATTGGACAAGAAGTCATCCGGCCATCCCTTCGAGAATGTCCCGGTGCTTTTGCCACCTAATGCTTGGCTTGGCCCACACCCCATTCCTCGTAAGTTGTTGGTAACGTTTTGGACAGCAACATTTTTATCTAGGTTCTTTCTACGAGTCAGACGTGGTTTAGAATTGAGAGTTTTTTTTGGTTTGATTTACTGTAACATTTGCTCCTGAGATTTTTTTTGATTATTTCAAAATGTTCAGCAGTTAGTCCTACTAAGATTTTACGTGATGCAATGTGACTCAATTCTGAGCACAACCCGTTGATTCCTTAAAGTTCTTTACGTCTTATAGTTACGTCTTAACAAGTTCTATACTTTGTGGATTTGTGTGCTTACATATTTCATGCTCAAGTGGATGTAGACTGATTTTATTATATTTTCATGAGATGCTGCAGCTCACAAAAGAGATATTGCACGGGCAGAGGATGCTTTGATGGTGCCATATGGTACTGAGGTGGTAGGCATGCAGAGGGACTGGAATGAAGAGCTTCAGTCCTGTAGAGAATTTTCGCGTGATAATTTGCAAGACAGGTAGATGTCTGAAGTTGCAGCAGCTCTTTTGATATCTGTTGTTATTTGTGGCCCTGTTGACGTCAGTTTCTTCGTAGTTCAGTTGTTATGACGTGATTTTGTGGTCTTCCAGCTCGTTTATTTTAAGAATTGTATGTCAGATCGTAATTTTTTTATCATTGGGAATCGATAGATAATTTGTTTTCTTTCGTGACTTCTTTTTGAAAAGATTTAGAAGTTGACTGTGTTTAGTTTCGCAGAATAATGAGAGACAGAGCACTTTACAAGGTGAATTGCGATTTTGTGGAAGCTGCGACCAAGGGAGCCAAAGCTGTAATTAATCGGTGTATTCCACCTATCAATCCCACGGATCCTGATCGCTTTCATATGTGAGTATGCAAATATTTTACTGTATATTTCAATCTATATTTTATCGTCATGGTTTCGTGGATATATTTGTAGGTTGTTGAGCTCAAGCAATCAAGTCTATGATAGACCTCGTTTTACAGGTCTTGGACATAAGTGGATGATTAATGTAGTTCTCTTAGTCATTCATGTGGATGATCACCTTATTTGTGAGGCTCTTTGTGATAACATCTAAGTTGTGAGGAAATATTTTTACTTGCAGGTATGTGCACAACAACATTTTTTTCAGCTTTGCTGTTGATGGAGACTTCACTCTTATGCAGCAAGTGAGGGATCAAAATTCACAGACAGGAGAGTCTTCCACAGAGGAATCTACTATCTCAAATGGGGATGCAAAGTCGGATAATGCTGAATCTAATGAGAGCGATGCATCTTTAAGTCTGGATGCAAATTCTGGCTCTGCGGTTGTTGAAAGTGAGCAAGCAACATATGCATCTGCAAACAACGATCTTAAGGGAACTAAAGCCTACAATAACGCAGATGTTTCTGGCCTTTATACCCTTGCAATGGCCATCATTGATTATAGAGGTCATAGAGTGGTTGCGCAGGTGAGATTTTTATATCGTCACATGTTTCTTACCCAGAAAAGATTATTTAAAAATCAAGGGCGTATAAAATTCTTAACAATGGTCATAGTTCTCTTAGTGGGTTAAAAATGGAAGTCATTGCATTGGAATGATATGTACATCTGGTTTCATCCGTCTAGTTCCTGACATTTGAGAACATGATCTTTGTGGGATGCAGAGTATCATTCCTGGTATTCTGCAAGGTGACAAGACGGAATCATTGCTATACGGATCCGTCGACAATGGAAAGAAGATTGCCTGGAACGAAAAATTCCACGCCAAGGTCAGCATCTAAACAATCTGAAGACGCAGCAGTATTCTGAAACCTGTTACTTGTTTTAGTTGATGCAATGCCAAGTTTGAGAGTTACCTTGACGAGTGTACAAATGCTTCTGTTTGTCAGGCACTTGAAGCAGGAAAATTGCTGCACATTAAAGAACACACAGTTCTGGACGGAGCTGGGAAGGAGGTGACTTTATGTGCTCCTGTGGAATGTAAGGGTATTGTTGGTAGTGATGACCGGTACGTGGTGGTTCTCCCTTAAGAAAGCAATATTGTTATGAGGGATGCAAGACTAGTTTATTTCTACTAGAGTCAATACGCATTGATTTAGCTAGGAAATGTACGTTCTCCTAAACGACCAAAGAACGAATGTTGCAGACACTACCTTCTCGATTTGATGAGAACAACCCCAAGAGACATAAACTACACGGGACCTGGATGTCGACTTTGTGTCCTCAGACCAGAGCTAGTGGCTATGTTTTGCCAAGTAAGCGCATCCACATATAGTATCTTTAGTGGCCATGCCAGTTTCTGTGCATTTTATATCTGGTTCGTGTATTAATGAAAGGTTGCATTGCATTCCCACTATGATTGAGTAGGCCTCTTGACTCACAGCTTGTTATTGTCTTGCGTCTCATCATCGCAGGTTGAGGCTCAAGAGAGGGCAACTCAAAGGAAAGCTGATGATGACCAGGCTGATGAAAAGGCTTTGGTTCAGGAAGAGCTTTCAAAGATTATGCTCAATCCTAATGTCTTCACTGATTTCAAAGTAGCTGGAAGCCAAGAGGTTGGAATTCAAGCACATTTGTATATTTATGATGCTTGGTATCCTCGTTTGTAATTTTTCAACAGTACATGCTCCTCCGAGGTGTGTGTGCGTGAGTGTGTGTGTTAGTGTGTTTAATGGAGTTGGTCGAGTAATGATGTTTTTGTCTATCTGAATAGGAAATCGAAGCAGATGAAGAGCTTGTCCGAAAAGCAGGCAATTATCTGAAGGATACAGTACTACCTAGGTTGGTTGCGGACTTGAGTAGCCTGGAAGTGTCTCCTATGGATGGTCCTACTCTGACTGATGCACTTCATGCCCACGGCATTAATATCCGATATCTTGGCCAAGTAAGAGTAGTCTTTCAGTAAATGTAACCCACATTCTCTTTGGCAAAGGGCTGTAGTCACTCTTAGCCACTGCTTTTTCTGTAATCTGCACATTATCGTGTTGAATTAGACACCTGCATGCTGCACTCTAAGTTTATTTTTTTGATAATTTAAACGACTATTGCGGCGAAGTCCATGCAGTTGCTTCAATGATTTTAGCGGTGGAAACTTTGATGTCTAAGAGACTGATGAAGTCACTGGTTTGTGAGCAGGTAGCAAAGAAGGCAGAGCATTTGCCACATATTTGGGATCTAGCTGTTGTAGAGATGGTTGTCCGGGCTGCCAAACATGTCCTCAAGGTTCGTCTACTGTATTTATTTACCATATTGAGTAACGTGAAAAACATTTTTCATGTTGTCTTAGTTTTGTGTGAGAGAGATCACGACACTTTGCAAGAGATTGCTCGACTTCTTTCTGTCTAAACTTGCGACGCGCTTAATGAACTTTCATCCATGCCAGGGCGTATTACGAGAAACCCTTGATCAAGATGTTGGGGGAGCCATTGCCCACTTCTTCAACTGTCTTGTTGGATCGGAATCGGCTAATCCAGTTTCGGAAGGAAAATCTGTATTAAGCGGGAAATCTTTAGCCAAGTCCGTTTCTGTAAGTGTTAACCATTCTCTTAATAGCTGGTGCATTTACACATGCGCATCGTATCGTATTTTTGGTCTGTAACTGGCGGTAAGATGCTTTCCAAGGATCAAAGATGTTAGTATACATAAGTGCGGCGGTGGTTGCCTTCAGCGTAGATTTTTGGTTGCCAGGGTTCCGGTTTTCAAGTGTTTTACGAATGACACTGCATAATTACCTTGCAGGGAAAGTCCTCATCGAAAGAGTCGGCGCAACCTGAGACCAAACCATCGTACCTGTGTATAACTCCGACTCTTGTCTGGTCTGACATTGAGGAGTGTGTGAAGTTCAAATACCAGGTCTTCACTCCTTCGTACTTTCACGTTCTACATTGATTTATTAGTTTCAACGGCTTATAAATAGATCCTTAATTAGTGGTGATTGCATCATTGTGTTTCATGTGTAGGTTTTTTTCTTTTCTTTTCTTTTCTTTTTTTTGATTGGGCTTATCTTGTAATGTGAAGAAGGGTTAGCATGACGTTTCTTATAATCTGAATCAGAATTGTGTGTCATCCTGATAAGAGAGTACAATGGAGCAAGATTTGAAATTCTTTTATTTAATATGATTTTAAACTTTTGATTTATGCAGTTTGATTTGCCAAGCGACGCAAAATCAAGAATTCGCAAGATATCCACCGTCCGAAATCTTTGTCAGAAGGTAAGTGGTTTTCACGATTAGGGAATTACAAAAATAAGTAATTTTCACAATTGATTTATGGATTTGAGTTGCTGTGAGATATCAATTCTGATATGTGCATGCAACCAGGTGGGCGTTATGCTGGCAGCAAGGAAGTACGATTTCGAAGTACCTGCACCTTTCAAAACATCTGACATACTCGATCTGCAATCAGTAGTGAAGCACTTATCTCCTGTATGTGTGGACGCCCGTGACCTCCTGGAAAATGGGAAGCAGCGTTTGGCACAAGTGAGTTTTAATTGCTATTGATGAGTCTAACTTGTATTTTCGTGGGATATCTATCTGTAAATGTGATGCACTTTCCTGCTCCTAAATCGTGGTAGCAGAAATTCCTGTTTTCGTAGCTTTGTTTCGCAATTAACGCCCTCAGCTGTACATATCTTTCCTATTGATCTGATTCCGATCGAAATGTAGGGCAAGCTGAATGAAGCGTATGAAGCATTTTCCGAAGCGTTCACGATCTTGCAACAGGTCAGACCCTTCGTACTTGTGAAGTAGAAGGCCGATTAGATCAGTCATATTGTGTTTAACGCATCAAATAATATACATCGTATACCATCGAAAAAATGCCCATACTAATCTGTAACTGACTCATTGAAATTTGAAATATGGTATTAGGTTTGTGGACCGATGCATAGGGAAGTTGCGAACTGTTGCCGGTATGAACATTCATCTCATCATACTAAAAAAATATAAAAAAAATATATTAATACTAATAATCAAAGTATATATATATATATTAATACTTCAATTATTTTTTCTTTCCGATTCTCTTCGTTCTTTTCTATTTTCCGGGTTGGTACTGTTTTTCCTATTTGGAACTATTTTCAATGGATGCTGGATTAAGACATGGAGTATTTCTTTTTTAAAATCATTGTGCCAATCTGAGTTTCTAGAGGTAAAGGATTTCCTTTTCTAATGCTATCCTTCATCTGTTTCTACTCTAGATATTTAGCAATGGTCCTCTACCATGCCGGGGATATGGCCGGGGCAATAATGCAGCAGCATAAGGAACTAATTATTAACGAGCGATGTTTGGGTGGCGATCATCCAGATACTGCGCACAGGTACGCTTCATACCTGAACACATAATATCATGTGAGCTTGCCCTCTGTTGTGCAAGGGTGAGATTTTGTCAAGCTAAGATATCTTCATGTTTGATAAAGCATGACTAAGTTGGCGGCTTCTTTTAAAGTCAATGAATTAGAGATGCTTTTGTTTTTAATTCGTTATTATTTTGTAAGTCGTCTTCTGCTTGTGTGTACTACTTACCTTCAAAGCAAGATTTCTAAGTATTATCGTGTGCTATGGTGCGGAACAGTTACGGGAACATGGCTTTATTTTATCACGGATTGAACCAGACCGAGCTTGCACTACGGCACATGGCACGTACATTGTTGCTGTTGAATGTTTCATGTGGGTCGGACCACCCAGATGTTGCAGCCACCTTCATCAACATTGCTATGATGTACCAGGATATAGGTAAAATGGAAGTCGCACTCCGTTACTTGCAAGAGGCTCTTAAAAGAAATAAAAGTCTCCTTGGTGAAGAGCACATCCAAACTGCCGTTTGCTACCATGCACTGGCCATCGCATTCAATTGCATGGGAGCGTACAAGCTTTCCCTGCAGGTGAGTCTTTTGGGACTTGGTCTTGCCTAACTTTGGTGATTTTTCTTGATGCAGAAGAAGGTTAAGCTGCGTAGCACTTGATACACTTTTTGACTCTTATGTAGGTTTTGCTTCAGATTTCGTAAATGTCAGAGCAGACTCAACTAGTTGTTTTTTGTTCCGCAGCATGAGCGTAGCACATACAATATTCTTGTGAAGCAACTCGGAGAGGAGGATTCAAGAACCAAAGATTCTGCCAATTGGATGAAGACTTTCCAGATTCGTGACATCCAGGTGCCGTATTATACAAATACTTGTCAGTGTCGCCCATTTTTTTTGTTTCTCTTATTTTTCATGAATGGTCTTCACTATGGATGCTTCACTTGATTGATATTCAGAAACTATTGAATACAACATGGTGAAGACATTAGTTAGACCTGATTTGGTGAACAATTTTGGTTGGGTGAATTGGAAGTATCTTATTCGTCTCTGATGCATTGAAAGGCTCATTATGATAGCGGAATGGTTTAAGATTACTAATTATGACTTCTGTTCCTTAAATTGCAGGCACACGCTCAAAAACAAAAGGGGAAAGAAGCTATCAGTGCCGCTGCCGCACAGAAGGCTGCCGCTGATGCTCTTAAGGTCCTTACCCTGGACAATCTGCTTAGTACCTGGATTTTGGAGCTTGGATGATCTATTTGTGCATTTGGTTTATTAGAAGAGGATCCCTGAGTGTTCTTCCTTTTAGGACCGGCTCTGCATGTGGACATATGGCGCTTATCTTCTGCAGTTGTCAATGTGACAGGCAAGACCAGATTTGGTGCAAGCATTCCAACAAGCGGCAGCCAGCAGCACTGCCAACCGAGGCTCCATGGGAAGTTCACCTCCGAATCTAGCGAGGGCAAGAGGTGCCCCGGATGAAAGAGCTGCACGAGCCGTCAATGAAGTGAGGAAGAAGGCTGCTGCAAGGGGCCTGAATGTCCGTCCACAGGCAACAGCGCCCAACCAGAGCATCCCTCCTCTTGGGGACTTGTTGAGTCTCATCAACAGTGGGGTAGCAGGAAAAGCTCCCCTTGCAACAAGCAGCACTCCTAGCTCAAGTACTTCGAAAGGAACAACCAAGGCTGCTCAAGCTGCACGACCCGAGAGTAGCGGCAGGAAATCAACTTCAACTCCAGCCACGGCCGCACCCGCGCGTCCTGGTCCTGTTTCAGCTGTCGGAAATGGCCCTGTGCAGGCAGCATTATCCGCTGCCGACTTGCAAGCCCCTTCACCAGTAGGATTAGGAAGTGGATTGAGTCTTGATGCAAAGAAGAAGAAATCCAAGTCAAAGAACGCAGCTTAGGAATCTTGTTAGTGAAATTCTTTTCACAATCTCAGTTCTGCAGTTATACATGGAGTTCATTCTTGGATCAGTTGATTTGCATACAATGTGTTGCTAGGTCACAACATGTTGATTCATTTCCGCTAGACGCCAGACTTTGGCCGATCTGAAGTGCTGCAGATGTTGCGCCTGCCCATATTCTGGCGAGGCTTGAAGCAGGCGTGTGGTTTTTGCACATCATCCACTGGGTTCTTTCAAAATAGCACAAGAGCCTACGAGCTGGGACACCACATTTTTCCCAGGCCGTAAAACCCATGCTCAGTCTAGTTGATTGAATCCTCAGAATTCTCAGCTCACGTTTCTACACTATGGTGTCCTTTATGTAATCCAATTCTTGTTAGCAATGTTTGCTCTTATTTCCACTTGATGTGCGTCTCTTTTGAACGTTTGAGGAGAGACTACATTTGTGGAAAAGAAATGATAAGTCTTATTGTAAAATTATTAATTGTGGAAAACAAATGATAAGTCTTACTGTAAAATTATTAATTCTGTTTGTGACAAAAGTGGTTATATTTAAAGGGAAATGATAAAGCCACCCAATTTTTTACTAAATTGACTCATATGCCTCATTCTCAATTATTCCCTTATTTCTCGACATTGTTCCTAACTATTGCCCCATTTACTCGTCATAAATATTTCTAGAGAACCTTATTTCTCGACATTGTTCCTAACTATTGCCCCATTTACTCGCCATAAATATTTCTAGAGAACTTTAGAAATACGCTTCTTTGATTTGATTTGTCTTGACATTTAAAATTACTTACTTATTTGAATTCTTTTTCTCTGTGTAGGCAATTTAAATGTAAGATAATAAACCTATTCTAGTTTATTATGCAAATTTTGGTATGTAATTCACAAAAAATGACTAAAAAACTTTGTAATTTAAGCACAAATACTTGTGTGCTTATATTTTAGTTATTACCAAGAATATTATGTAGTAGTTGTATGATGAATAAATTATATATTTTTAAAAATAGTTAAATAATTAATACAAACTATTACTTTTAGATGTTGATGATTTTTTATTTTCATTTAGTTTTGCTCCATACTAAATAAAAAAAATAAAAAAATAAAAAATTAATAATTGTAATTCAGATGTGCTTCAATTGGTTTCAAATACTAGTCACATTAGATAACTTAGATCTCTAAACACAAATATAAACAACAAATTGATATTTAGGTACACAAACAAGGCCAAAGTCTAGAATGCTCTACATACCACTTTAAAAACACAAAACTTATAATAAACAGATAAATAAATTCACAAATATCTTCATAAATCATCAAAATCATCAAAATCATCATCTTTTATTAAAAAGTATTCCATGATAAGTTTATTAGTATAACAAATGTAAAGGATTCTAAAAAGTGAATTTTTGTATACCTAAATTAGCATATTACCTAAAGATTATTTCGAAACCATAAGATTTTACTAAGCTTCTACATGCTCTAATAACATAATTTTAAAAATTAATTTTTAAAAATAGCCTTGGCAATATTCAAAGACCAAATACATCAATTGCAATCATTGTGCTAAACTAAAAGAATGGTTACTTATGAAGAAAATCCTACAATAAATTTGCATAATGAAAAATAATAATAAAAGAGAATTCCTTTAAAGAACAATGTAACATGCATACACTAATATACACCTTATTTGAACGGATAACCAATGGTTCTGTAGAAAATCATTATAAAAATTATTTAAATATTTCAAAAACTACCTTTGTAGAAATTGCATCATAGTATTTAATTCTTGCTATGTATTGTTAATAACAAAAATTATGGCTTAGTACTTATAACCACAAAATTTTAAATTATATAAGAGAATCATTTTTAATATACATATTATTTTAGCTTTTCATAAAAATTATATAAAATATAAATAAATTCAAGATTTTTTTTAAAAATTATTTGAGTTATTTTTAAAAAATATTTAAAAAAATTATTAATTTAAGAATTTGATTTTAACATATTTTTATTTTAAAAGATATTATAACTTCTTAGAATAGAAGATTGATTTCAATAGTTAGTAGAAATGTAATCTATATATATATATATATATATATATATTAATAATGAGAAATTTTAATAACCGCAAGAAATATACAACTAAAGTTTGTTCTTATATGATATTAATTAAGAAATATTATATATATATATATATATATATATATATATATATATATATTATATATATCAAATAATTTTATATATCAAATGTCATGATTTCTAATTTTTCCATAATAAGTTTTACTTTGAGTATTAATTAATATAAATCAAAAATAAATTCTATATCAAAATAACATAAAAAAGATGTTGAAAAGTTATTAACATTGCATGAGACCAACAACTTCTTTTGATAAATTTTAGTATATATATCTTTGTAGTTTATGTCTCTATTCATAAATATATTAATAATGATAATTTTATACATGTATAATTTAATCTATTATAATTGGGTTAATATAAATTAATATAAAAAATTATATTGTGATTTTTTTTCTTCTTAAGATAAATAGCTTATAAGTGAAACATCACAAATCGAATAATAGAGTTGTTATGCCTACATCAGTGTTATGTTATGTAAAATTTAGCCTTAAAAGATACTTGGATTTTAGTTCTAGAAGAATTTCAACTTACTTTCAATTTCTTCTTGTAATAATAAAAAATAAATACATAAATAAAAATAAACACATGAAGTGTTTATAATTGCATGTCTTAAAAATTTTGACCTTTTCAAAATCCTAAAGCCAATAAATTTTTATTTCTATTAATTTAAAATGTATCCTTGCTACTATAAATCTTATTCCAAGACAATCTTGTATAGATAATTTTGAAAACTATTTACATGCTTTAAACTCATCTCTAAGATAATTGAATGTGTTTTAAGCTTATTGATATAGGTTTTAGTAATACTCTTAAAGTCAAAAAAATCTTAATCAAACATCAAACAACCTTTGAAAAATCCTAAATAAACTTATAAAATCCTCAAATAAATATTTGAATTCCTAAAAAAAATCTAAATTAAATCCTAAAATATCCTATCAAGCTTCTAACTTCATATTGACTAAATCCTAAAAAAACTCTAATCAAATCATAAAAAACCTAACTAAGTTTTGACCAAATCTTAAAGAAATCTTATCCAAATCCTAACCAAATCCTTATAAGTCCTATGTCATAGACATACATAATTATCTAGATAAAAAGTATTAGGTAGAATGTAAATGAAGGTAGGTTTGATAATATCTTGTTGAGAAGCTTCTTAGAAGATTTATAGCTGCAAATTTAACTTTAAATTTGTAGTTAATTGGTAAGTTGAAAATTTGACCAACAAGTTGGCCACTTGTTGTATATGTTGTAAACTTGCCTTGCAAGTTAAATATGTGTCATATAAGTTAGACATGTGTAGAAGATCCAATAGAATATTGCTATGTAGCTTCTAATTAAATAGTATATATAGAAGTAGGAGTAAAGCCTCTTTCATTCTTATAAACATTTTCTTCTTCTTAGTCTAATTTCTAAAATATCTAGATGTCAAAGAGATGAATCTTAAAGGACTAAAAAATCAATTTACTCTTGTATCACTCAAAAAGACTAAAAAATCACTTAAAATTTGTATAAAATTAAACTAAAATGGTCGTTGCTAAAGACAAGAAGATTAGAAAGTCTTTAAATAAGTCTAAGGACTAAAAAAGCATTGATAAGTGTGAAGAAGACTTTACTCTTTCCTCCATATATACTATCTAATTAAAAGCTATATATCAATGTTTTATAGGACATTTGATATATGTCAAATTTGCAAGATACATGTCTTAACTTGTAATATAAGTTTTCATTATATATGCCACATAGTTAACTTATTTAACGAGCTACCAACATGGGTAATATGTAGCTAACTTGTTGGCCAAATTTCTAACATATTAATAAACTACAAATACATGTAAAATCAAAGCCATGTCTATAAAGCTCCTAAGAATCTTTTTTATAAGATATTATTAAATTTATCTATTTTAATCTACTTCTATCTATTTATTATCTAAATGATTATTAGAATAAATATATATGTTTGTGATATTTTTTTTTTCTAAAGACAAGTTCCACAAAGAATATTAATTCGCTTATTAATGAAATCTAAAGTATCATAAATTATATTTGCTACATACTTTGATCTTTGTTCATTTTAAAGGTAGTTGATAGGTCTTTTTAGCCATTAATAATATTCTATTTCAGGGCATGAAAACTACCTTGTTATTTAATTATTATTGAAGTCTTCATAACCTCCTTCAAACAAAATATTTGTAACATCATTAAGAGTTGTTACTAATTCTTGTAAAATCACCAAACATTGAGAGTCTCTTCTAAGGTCGTAATATCAAATGTATTATATCTCACCATTTATTTGAGGAAGAACATATCACTCTTGAGGATCTTCATTTCTATTACTTTGGCTTGAAGGTAGTGACAATCATAATATCTTATCCAATAAGTCAACAAATAATATCTCTTGAATTAAATCTCCTAGTTATTGATTTTTCATCTCCTTAGTATAAAAAATAAATAAAAACTATAAACAAAGATAAAAGATAGTATGAAATCTTTTTTTAAATTTTTTTCATTATAATAAATATTTTTAATTCTTCATCTTGATTAAAATCTTTATTAATTTAAAAAAGATTGTTATTAATTACTAATAAATGTTTTTTACTAACAAATTTTGTTAGTAAAAAATATCAATCTTTTTTGCTACATTTCTAAGATTTTTGGCAAGCTCTTATGTGTATTCATTGATACCATATCTGCAACAATAGAAAAGATATTCTAGCGTATTTTGGTGTTGCCTTGAATCTAAGACTTCTTTTACTTTGAATTCATGATTATTATGCATTTTTTTAGGAAGAGGTGGCATTTGTCTTCTTATCAAGATATTTACTATCTTATATGGCTTAGAAAAAAATACATGAAATACAGAATGGATCTTCAAAGATCCTAATAGATAAAATTGATAGGTAATTAAATTGATTTTTTTATAAATAAGAAATGGTTTAAGCCTATAGTAATCCAACTTATCACAAAGACATTTAGTTTTGATATTACAATAAAATAATCTTATCTTATCACCAACACGGAATTGAAGTTACTCTTTACAATAGACATCCATATTATTTTTTTGTTATTTTTAAACTTCTTTTAATTGTGATTTCATTCTTGTATGTAGCTAAAATAAATGATTTGCCAAATCTTTTGCTATAGGATTATCAACTTTTGAAAAGTAAAAAATATCAAATTATGGATGATAACCATAATTATTAAAGAAATATGTTTTTTGAATAGATGAATGTATCATGTTATTATAAGCAAA